TGCATATGATTGCAGTGGGCCTTGGGATTTAGCATGAGTGTGGGGGGTACACATTGATTCACTCTGTAGCAGATACTTTTTAAAGATGATCAGTCTAGGTATTGTAGCTACTGGCTGAGTTCCTTACAGTGGCTACTTTATAAATCGCTCTATAATCAGAGTAGTTAATGATGTGCAAAATCTGCACTTCATCTCCTTCCTAAGGAATTCTTGTCCTTTATTCAATTTTCTATCCTGTGGTCTACTGTCCTTGCTTTTGATTTTTTCATCTGCTTATTTTCTCTTAAATGAAAAGTTGCATTTGAATTTTTGAATATCATGACTTGTGTGCTTTAATGATTATGTTTTATAATGTTTGAAAGAGAGTCTTTAAGAGTTTCTTTGGACTCTTTCTCTTTATCAGCATCTAAGGAAATGGTGTCTGGTTTTTGGAAACTTAATCACAGCAGGGTGCTACATGCTCTTAGGACCCGTCCCTTTCTTGCACATTGAAAGGTAATTTTTTTTTTCTATTTTGGACAAAATAGCATAAGGAATTATTTTTAAACAATGCTAATATAGTTTAATATTTTAAAAGCCTTAATATTTAAATAATTTTGATTTAGGCCTATATTGAATTGTTTGTTATATTGACAGTATTTTACTTTACTAGAAGCTAGCATAGGTTCAAGCAAACAGAAATGGCTGAAATCTTTACCAAATGAGAAAAACACTTATCACACACTTGTTTGTACTCACTTTGAAAATAGGATTTGTTGCTGTTCACCTGTGGTTGATAATTCTTAGAATATATTTTTGTTTTTTCTATTTTTCTTCCTCACTTCTGAGGCAGAGACCAAATCTTTTATTTCTGTGTCATCCTTAGCATGTATTCAGTGCTCATTCAAGCTTGTTTATATAATTTATTTGCTAAAGTAAGATGAGTTTCTTAGACCTTTTTAGATACTTCCAGGTTAAGATATGGCATCATGGAAAGAGAAGGATTTCAGTGTCTTTCAGACTTGAATTTGAATTTTGGCTTTGCCACTTAACTGGTACTGTGAACTGGGGCAAACACAATTTTTAAGAGCCTCAATTTTCTTATTATTTACCAAAAGGAGCCAATGATTACAGTAACATTACAAGGATTAAATGAGATACTGTTCATTAAATAACTGGCCTAGTGCCTGATGTAGAACAAACATTAATTTCCTGTCTTATACCTTTTTTCTTTGCTGTTGTTTAGGGTTAATTAAATTTAAAATCAAGAGATTCAATGAGCAGAGTTAGTATTGATATTTTAACCACTTTCAAAAAGATTTTATATGTTGGGAAGGCAGGTTGGTCCCAGACCTGTGATGTGTGTGACCAAAGAGACTGAGACACTGCATGGGTGAATATGAGGGACTAAAGGGTGACTCAACAGAATGAAACACCATCAGAGGGGACTGAGAACAAGGCCAGTCACCTCATCTGTGAAACAAACTTCTCTGGGATCCTGCCTGTCTTAGCATTAAGTTTTATAGCTCTTAAAATGCTAATGTGTTTGTTTTTGTGTTCTCCAAAACTCTTTTGTAGTCAGCTGTGGCTGCTGGTGTTGATATTAGTTATAAATGGCTTCTCTGCTGGAATGAGTATCATTCCGACTTTTCCGGAGATTCTCAGTTGTGCATAGTAAGTTACTCTCGTCGCTTGAAGAACTGTGCTGCAAACAGCAGTGAGTGCCACAGGCTTTCTTGAATTTTTCAGTTTTGTAGGATATTGGATTTTTCCCCCTAGTAGTAAATCTTCATGCTATAGAATGTATATGTATGTATATGCATGTAAATTATGTAAATAATAATAAAATTATGTAAGTTATAATATATAGTATTATTATTTTTTTAAAAAAAGATTTTTTAAAGATGGACACAATATCTTTACTTGATTTATTTTATTTATTTATTTTTTATGTGGTGCTGAGAATCAAACCCAATACCTCGTGTGTGAGGCAAGTGCTGTACCGCTGAGCTATAATCCCAGCCCCAATATATAATATTATTAACACACATAGGTAGAGCATGTTGAAGATAGATGCTTGGCTTGGTTTTTGCCTTAGCATATATGTAATTTTGAAAAGCCATTGCGAAATAGAAAGGCCTTTGCCTTGTGCCTCTTTCATGGAGGAATCCATACAAGACCACAGGATGACCAGGCTTCTGTCACCTGGCCATCATTCCTTGGTTTGATGAGCACATTGGTGAAGAACACTAAGTACTAAGGCTATGCTGGGTCAGTTCAGCAATTGTAGAAATAAGAAGCTGCCTGTGTTTTCTTAAAGCTGCCCATTATTCTCCTCACACTTTCATCTCATTTTATGAATTTCTTTTTTTATATAAAAGAAATAACTTATTATAATTTTCTACTACATTTCTTTGTAAACTTTTTTTGGTGGTTGTTCTATGGATTTTAATATATAATCTTAACTTTCCACTATCTACTTAGGATAAACACTTTACCACTTAATTTTTTTCCTCTTTCCACATTTTTTTAAATTGGTGCATTAGAGTTGTACTATAATGGGTGGGATTTGTTGTTACATATTCATACATGAACATAATGTAACCATATAATTTGGCCAGTTTCACTCCCCTGCACTTCCCCTCTCCACCTTCTCTTCCCACCTACTTCCTGATTCTTTTTCTTTACTATTGCGCTCTGATTTTCATGAAATATCTTCCACCCACCTTTCTTTTTAATTTTTATGAATTTCTTTGTTATATATTCTATAAGCACTTGATATGATGAAAATTCCTCCAAATTAGTTTTTTTTTCTTTTTTCTTTTTAAATTTTTGGTGCTGGGGATTAAACCTGGGCCTTTGCATGCTTAGCCCATACTTTGCCACTGAGCTGCATTATCTTACAAAGCAGAGTGTTCTGGGATCCTACTTGTCTTAGCATTAAGTTTTATAGCTCTTAAAATGCTAATGTGTTTGTTTGTTTTCTTGCTCTTGTCCAGATTACCTGTGGTTTCTCTTAATGCATCTATCATACAACTTTTTTCTTTTATGTAGGTTTTCCTTTTAATAATGGATGCACTCATATTTCTCTTTTCAGTGAAAATGGATTTGAAGAGGGATTAAGCACGCTGGGACTTGTTTCAGGTCTCATTGGTGGCATGTGGTCAGTTGGGTAAGTAGGCATTGCATTTCATTCACACTTGAAAGACTTCCTTTTGCTCATCTATTAATTTGTATTTGAAAATAGCAGCTCCATTGAAATTGAGACACTGTGAAGTCAGATGAGCTTTTTAAAGAAAAATTGTTGGTACAGGGTAGAGCCAGAAGTCTGATCTACACTTTTAGGCTCCAAAATCTGATTATACCAGCAGATTTGAAACCAAAGCAAAATGATCTCACATACTTTGTCTTATTTAAGTGGTATTTGGAAGTTCCCTAAACAAAACTATACTTCAGATTTTTAAAACCTTTTAAAAATTGCTTTTATTTTTTAGATACATGACAGCAGAATGCATCACAATTCATATTACACATATAGAACACCATTTTTCATATCTCTGTATATAAAGTATGTTCACATCAATTCATGTCTTCATACATGACTTTGGATAATGATGTCCATCACATTCCACCATCATTGCTAACCCCCTGACCCCTCCCTTGCTCTCCCACCCCTCTTTTTTTTTTTTTAATTAGAGCTTTATGGTTATACATAGTAGTTGGGTTCAACCCAACAAACTCATACATGCATGAAAATTGATTTCAGTCATTATCCCCCTTTTCCTTCCCCTCCCTCCTCCTTCTTCTTCGTCTACTCTACTAGACTTCCTTTTGCTCATTTATTAATTTGTATTTGATTGGTTCTTTATGTATTCTTATCCTCCCCCTTCCTTTCCTTTATTTTACTCTATTTTCTGCATATGAGAGAACATTTAACTTTTGAGTTTCTGAATTTGTCTAATTTCACTTTGCATGATATTCTCCATTTCTATCCATTTAGTAGCAAATGACATAATTTCACTCTTTTTAATGGCTAAGTAGAACTCCATTGTATGTATATATATGATATATATATGTTATATATATACTATGATTTCTTAATCCATTCATCTGTTGACAGGCATCTGGGTTGATTTCTTAATTTGCTATTGTGAATTGTGCTTCTATAAACATTGATGTGGCTGTGTCACTATAGCATGCCAATTTTAGATCTTTAGGAAAAATACCCAGGAGCAGGATAGTTGGGTCATATGGTGGAACCATCTTTTAATCTTATTTTTTTATTTATTTGTTTATTTAGTTTTTACTTTCTACTACATCATAAGGGTAACTACGTGTCAGAAATGTTGTATATGATCAAAAATAAGTATTCAATTGAATTATATTAGATGAAAATACTGAGGATAGAATAATATAAAGATCCTTCTGAATGTATCATCTTTTAAAAAATTTTTGAACATCATTATCAGGTAGTTTTTCTGTTGTTTTGTTCTGTAGTGGTTGTAGGAATCCAACCAGCAATTCATACCTGCCAGGCAAGCTCTCTACCACTGAGTGGCAGACCCTGCCCTACAATTCTTTTCTTATACCCAATGCTATGCCCCAGAATCGACATTTTGTTGTTGTTGTTCTCAGGAAAGTTGAAGACTGTATTTTATTTTCTTTTTTAAAATTCTAATTTGTTATATATGATGGTGGAATGCATTACAATTCATATTACACATAGAGAGCACAATTTTCATATCTCTATTTGTATACAAAGTATATTCACACCATCCATGTTTTCATACATGATATCCATCTCATTCCACTATCTTTTATTCAGTATTTGTAGTCCTAATTTAAGGGAAACCTGGGACTGAGGAATCGAGTGACTTTTACTAAGCAATTATTTTTTTTATTGTTTAATAATTCATCTATCCATTGTCAGTGCTTTTGCAGGACCAATGCTGGGTGGATTTCTGTATGAGAAAATTGGTTTTGAGTGGGCAGCAGCTATACAAGGCCTGTGGCCTCTGATAAGTGTAAGTAACCCATGTTTTCCCCTCCACCTCCATCTTCTTTACATTTTGGAGAAAGTTGTCATGGAGGATTTACATTAACCAGTATTTTTCACTGTGTTAAAGGGATTAGTGATGGGCTTATTTTACCTCCTGGAGCACTCAAGGAGAAGAAGAAGGTATGGTCAACTTTTAGAGTTCTTCTTGCTGCCTTTAGAGGTCAGCTTATGGGTGTGGTCAAGAAATACCAATTTATATCCATCCTTCTAGTTAGCAGATTTCTGGGAGCCCTGAGGCTCGTCCCTTACTTGGTAAATATGTTTGCCAGGTTTAAGGGGATAGTTGGTTAGATATGTAGGCACTGTTTATGTCGTTGTTGTTTGTTTGTTTGTTGTTCATTTTTAGATAAGAGATACTGAGATTCTCTTTTTTCCTCTCAAAGTAGATCTAAGTCTCAAAACATCGTTGGCACAGAAGAGGAACGGACTGCTCTTTTACCTGATGAAATCTAGCCTTCTGAGTCCTGGATGGATACAGATTGGGAGGCAGATGCTGGTGGTCCTGCATATCACTGTTGGGAGGGTCTTCTCAATTTTGGACACAGAGCTCCATGGGGCCTCCACCACTCCCTGAAAGAGCCCATGTGCTTTTGGATGATCCTTGGTGGGCTGTACTTAAAGTTGCCCTGAAAGGGTAACTGACTGAGCCAGCCATATTTGAAACATTAATTATGAGAAAGATAGTTAAAAACCAGCAATTTTTTTTTTTTTTTTGTGGTGCTGGGGATTGAACCCAGGGCCTTGTGCATGTAAGACAAGCACTCTACCAACTGAGCTTATCCTCAGCCCCAGGAGATTGTTATTTTAAATGACCAAACTTCTCCTTGAAGATTCTGTTATGAATTGTCTAGCCTTCTTGCTTCCTCTGTTTACTTTTTATTCTGAGTGCACTGATTTTGTGAATGGAATATACCTTCATTTTTACTGACAAGGAAAGAAATGATTTGATTTGACATATGCTGAATATATCATGATTTTTACACAAAATGTATAGAATAATTAACTATGAAATCAGGTTTTAAAACATATTTTCTCTGACTTGAGATTTTTGTCTTTGTTTAAAAAGCAAAATTTCTGCCTGCCATGCAAAAATTCTGTAGCATCCTTCTGGGCCCTCAGTTTTTCTCAAAATTTCAGATGTGTGAAAGGTGCTTGATATAACATTACTCATTCCCTTTAACATATCTGTGTTTTAGTTCTACTTTTCTTTTTTCTTTCTTTGTTTTTTTTTTTTCAGTACTAGGGAATGAACTCAGGGCCTCACACATGCTAGACAAGTGCCCTATCACTGAACTATGTTACCACACTTTTTAAATCTTATTTTAAGACAGAGTCTTGCTTTTGCTCAGGCTGGCTCAAACTTGAGGTCCTGCTGCGACAGCTTCAGAGTAGCTGGGAATACAGGCATGCACCACCATGCCTAGCTTGTGTCCTGGTACTCTTGGTAGATTTCATCTTTAGATCAGATCAGCATCCCAACCCCATCCAGGAATTTATGTTGTATGTTAGGGACACACTCCCTCCATGGACATGTAAAATCCATGCTGTTATTTGAAGCGAAACAATGTCAACTCTCATACCTCCTGGTCCATTTCATGCTGTAATAGCAACATTAACTTTCTTTTTTTAGAATAAATGATTTTATCTATTTATTCAAAAATATCTTCGATCACCTCTAATGAATTGATGTCAGGTGCTAGGAATTTAGCTGTGATTACCATAAACATAACCTCTGCCTTTATGTAACTTTTAACCAGGAAAAGGAACAAACAGTAAATAAATGCCAGAATTATTTATTATCTTACAAAAATGTTCTGAAGGAAAAAACATGATAAGATAGAATAATTAGCTGGTATTGATTAGGTGTGGGGCCTTGTTTGGACAAAGGCTCTGCATGGAGGTGAGATTTTTGAGTTGAGAGCTGAAGAATGAGAATGAGTCTGCCATTCATTCATTTTGAAGAGAGACCAGTCCTTAGCATGTGCTTGGTGTGGTAGAAGATGAGAGCACTCTATACTTTCCAGAATCCTGTAAATAGAGTTAGGGAAGTGGGGAGTAGTGGTATTTAAATGGAGGTGTGCAGAGTCTACTTGAAGTTTCAGGAAGTTCTTTGGATCTGCATGTGGACAGCAAGTGGGGTTGCTGATAAGAAGGGATTGAGATGCAGGGAGAACTTTGGAGCTTTGGGAGAGACAATAATGGTTTTAACTAGAGAGGTGGAGGGGTGGAGAGAAAAAGATATATTCAGAAGTGGAACTGACACGATTGTTGCTGTGGAGGGGGAAGGAGAGAGGAATCAAGGATGATTCTAGGTTTTAGCTGGAGGATGTGGGTGTCGATTCTAGTGCTTCTAAGTCACATAGAGAAGAAAAGCAAAACAGATCCTGAAGAGACGAATAATCAAAACCATGATGGGATGCCATTTCCCACCACCAAAACCAACCTAAATGGATACCCAGGGTTGAAGAGGACTGCTTTTGGAAGGGTGCCTGGCACTAACTGTAAGGTTGGATCACAAGGGTCTTATGAACTCTTCCCTATTCCTCTCAACCTCCTTCATCCTTGGAGGTTGGTCAGTGCAGGAAGAGCACCAGTGACCTGTAGGTCAGAGTATGACCACGTTCCCCTGAACCAATGTGAGGGCAGAGCAGGGACAGGCCTGGTTCTCCCTGGTCAAATTTCCTGACATACACTTGCGTTTCTTCTCTCTAAGCCCACTGGTTCAGGGATGCCCCCTCTTCCGCCCCGTGGCAATGCCACTGAACTCATGCAGTTCCAGATGCTGCCTCAGGGTGGTGCTATTAAAGCACTGAGGCCACAGCAACCACTTCTGCTGCCCCAATCTGGCCTTCGGACTTTGCTCAGTACCTCCACCCATTTCCCTTACCAGCACAGTTAAATGTTGAAAACTCAATGTCAATGCAAAGATTCTAGGTTTTTTTGTTGTTTGTTTGTTTTTAAGAGCTTTTTAAATTCTAATTTTCAACATGCTGCTCTCAGTAAATGCCTCAGATACAAGTGTTAATAAGATGCTCTGTATGAAAGCAACTCTATCCTTTCCTCATTGTATGATTTTGTAAGTATTAAGATGCATGACAAAAATGCTTTATGAGAAAGAATAAAGGAAAAAAAAAGAAAAGAAAGGATAAAGAAAAAAAATGTTTGGGACTATGAAACCCAAGAAGTAGATCAAAATCATCAGAGGATATTCCTATGTATATGTTTGCATTTTTTATATATTTATATTTTAAATATATTAAAGGTACTCAGATTAAATGAACTCTTTAAAAATGAAAATTATTATTTTATGTAGCTAACTGCAGAGTATATTAATAATAAATAAACAAGGATATTTTTATGTTAAGACAATATTTTATCCCATATTGGGATAATACACAAATTAAAGGAAAAATAAGGATATACAGATCATATTTCTTTTAATTAAAATTTTAGGATTTTGAGATAACTGCTGGTTCACATGAAGTTCTAAGAATAAATACACTGATCCTGTTTCTCCTTTCCCTGTTTTCCCCCCAATAGTAACATCTTGAAAAACTATGATATAATATTATAATCAGGATGCAGAATATTCCTGTCACGACACCCCTCATGTTGTCTTTTGCAGCTACTCTTAATTCCCCTAATTCCCTTCCACCTTTACTAATCTCCATTTCTGGCATCTAGTCATTTCAAGAAATGTAAAACTGGAATCAATATGTAATTTTATTTTGGGATTGGCTTTTTTGACTCAGTATAATGCCCTTGAGATACACTCATGTTCATTCATTTATATTGGTGAGTAACATTTCATGGTACGGATGTCTTGTGTATCTACCTATTAAAAGATGTATGGATTGTCTCTAGCTTATGATTACAAATAAAACCGCTATGAACATTTACAAACAGATTTTTGTGAAAACATAAACCTTCATTTCTCTGAGACAAATGCCAGGAATATACCTGCTGGGATGTTTCATGGTTGCATGATTAGTTTGCTTTACTTTTCCCCAAATAACTCATTTGTTTTAGATAGAAAACTTGATTTTGGCAATAAATATTAAACATCACATATTGATGAAATATCATTCTATTGGCTTATTTTTTTTCATTATCAAGATTTAATATGTTACATATACTCTCTCAAATCTAGCTATCAAAAGAAGTGGTTAATAAATACAGTCCCAGATTATGGTGGTTCAATTTAGAAATTTTCAACTTTCTGATGGTTGTTTTTAGAAACCATTTACAACTAATAGTAAGATGTGAAGGCTGGGTTTGTGGTTCAGTGGTAGAGTTCTTGCCTCACATGTGTGAAGCACTGGGTTTGATTCTCAGCACCACATATAAATAAGTGAATAAAATTAAGATCACACAACTAAAAAAGTGTGAGTGTGTGTGTGTGAGTGTGTGTGTGTGAGTGTGTGTGTGTGAGTGTGTGTGTGTGTATAAAGAGGCTGATACCTCTAGATATAATCATGTTGAAAGGAAATAACCTAAAGATCAGTCCCATGGTATCATCTTTTCCTTTAGAGTCACTTGCATGGGCCCTCATCTAATGAAATAAACACATAGAAGAATAAGCCCAGAAACAATATATTTAGAAAAAATAAAATGTTACCTAGAGTATTAACTAAGGAAACCATAACCTCAGTTTTCAGGGCTACATGAAATGACCCTTCATTAGGAACTACTCACAATTCTTGAATATTTGCACCAATTCCTTTCAGAAATTCACAGTTCCCTTCTAATGGCAGCCTGTTTGTGCTTGAGGGTTAGAGTGTAGGCCCAATCCAGGAAAACCTGGTGTTCAGTAATAACCTCTGATTTCATTAGCAGTACTAAAATGAAGAAATAAAAAGTCTGTTTTTTGTTGAACATGGGTCAACAATAGCATTACAAATACAAAACTACATTCAAATCAAGCCTGGTATGGTGTCGCATGCCTGTAATCCCTGTACTCAGAAGGCTGAGGGAGGAGAATCTCAGGTTAAGTCCAGCCGGGGCAACACAATGAAATCCTGTTTCAAAATGGAAAATAAAATGGACTAGGGATATAGTTCAGTAGTAGAGTGCTTATCTAGTGTGCATTAGGGCCTGAGTTTGATCCTTAGTACTGAAAAAGAAAAAAAAAGAAAAGTCTTACAAATCCAAACAAAAATTGAAATCCAAATCAATTAAGTTCTAGTTTATATATTCAGATATGATAGTCATAAAATCAGTTGCTGAATAAATACAGGTAGAGTTCTTTTTCCTTTTAAGGTAATTAAAATCAGTGTAGATAAATCTTTGTCCTGAATGCAGTACTAATACCTTATTTTCTTCCTATGTTTTCAGAACTTTTGGCTATTTTCATTTCTTCTTCTATTATTATTATATTCTGTTCAACTATCACCCTTATTGGTTTGCTTTTGCCTCTTTTGTTCGTATTTGATAAAGAGCCAAGACACTTGGTTATGGTGAGCTGAGTCTAACCTCCTGGACTGGAAGATGACTTGGTAAGGAAGATGGGGGCACACATTAGGACATAGGACATTCATCTTAGTGAGTAAAGGAGCCACAGCCCTGGAGTGTGTGCTTGAGATTGCACCTTGTAAAAGGAAACATATTCTTGAGGTCAAGCAGCATTGTTAATGGGGAAGAACTGCTTAGAAAGGGAAGATCTGTCCACAGCTTCTTCATGCCTAAAGCTGAACACACCACTCAGCCTCAGCTAGTTGATTTAGATTAGTGAGAACTCCCAAATTGATATTGCAGATTAATTGGTCTTCCATTTAAATGAATTCCATTCAGCAGAGTTATGGCTTGAGACTACATTCCAGGAGGGTAAAGCAACAATTGCAAGACTCCAGCTTTTCTTTTAGGTCTTTGCATGTTGTCACTCTGCTTAGTGGCATAACCTGAAACTGAAGAAATAGTTCCCCTCCCCTACCAAAACCTTCCTGTCAGAGTCCTCCTGTCAGATTTCTCCAGAATAGAGAAGATGAAGAGGAGAAAAGAGTGCTTCAACCTCATCTTGAGGCAAAGACTATCTCCAGTGAATTGTTCCTCCCTGCAGGGAGTTGTAAGAATTTTAATGAAGCATCTCCTGGGAGGCTCCATTCCTGTCCGTTTGGGCAGACATGGAAAGACACCCCTAAAAGGCTTCTTCC